TACAGGATGCAGGGCACGGGAGCCCCCAGCCCCGCGGAGCCCGCCTCCAGGGAGCAGTGGCCGCCACTTGGCGGGCACCTTCCCACAGCTTCTAGGTACGGAGGCTGGAACGGAGTGTCTGCAAGGGTTTCTTTTTTTTTTTTTTTTTTTTTTTACCATTTTTTGCAAACAGAAGCAGAATCACACTACGGTATACTGCCCGGTGGTTTCACTGGTCACATAATAATACGGTGGGGATATCTTCGACCTTAACAGCAGGCAGCACTATCTCCTTTGCAGAATTAGTGTTTATCATCTTGCTTACCTGATAACTAAGTTCCTGGCTTTTGTTATGTTTTTTTTTTTTTTTTTGGTTTGTTTGTTTTAGATGGACATCATCAAAGCGTACAAAGTGCGGGGCTGCGGGGCACCGGTGGGTGGTGGCTCACGCCTGTGATCCTAGCACTCTGGGAGGCCGAGGCGGATCGCTCGAGGTCAGGAGTTCGATACCAGCCTGAGCAAGAGCGAGACCCCATCTCTACTATAAATAGAAAGGAAATTAATTGGCCAACTAATATAGAGAGAAAAAAGCTGTGCATGGTGGCACATGCTGTATGTCCCAGCTACTCGGGAGGCTGAGCAGGAGGATTGCTTGAGCCCAGGAGTCGTTGAGGTTGCTGGAGCCAGGCTGACACCACGGCACTCACTCTAGCCTGGGCAACAAAGCGAGACTCTGTCTCAAAAAAAAGAAAGAAAAAAAAGAAAAAGAAATAAAAAAGTGCCATTTCCTAATTTGCTCTATAAGTAGGATTTTTTTTTTTTTTTTTTTTTTTACATGTACCAGCTTTCTCAAACCAGGGTTTGTTCATCAAATGTTTGAAAAGGAAGCGAATTTAAATCACTCTGTCTTGAATCCAGCCTTTGGTGATAACCAGAGACTCCTCTCACCCCGGGCGTCCCTGCTCCGGGCCTGGGAATCAGTGCGGCTGCGACTTCTGGCCTCTCTGCTGCGCGGAACACAGAGACCCGAGATAAGCCAACCGGGGCTGTGGTCGCCGATTGCTCTGATATCCCCCAAACAGGACCAGAAGCAGCTGCAAGTGGAGGAAGGAGGGAAGAGACCGAACCTGCCTCAGCCTCCCGAGTGGCTGGGACTACAGGCATGCGCCACCATGCCCGGCTAATTTTTTCTCTATATATATTTGTTGGCCAATTAGTTTCTTTCTATTTATAGTAGAGACGGGGTCTTGCTCTTGCTCAGGCTGGTTTTGAACTCCGGACCTCGAGCGATCCTCCCGCCTCGGCCTCCCAGAGAGCTAGGATGACAAGCGTGAGCCACGGCACCTGGCCTGTCAGAACCTTTTAAGAGCACCCATTCGTAAGAACCATAACGCGGTATCGCAATGTTTCCGGAAAGAGACGTTCTCACGCCATGGCAGGAGCGGGTCCTGTTGAGACGCAGACTGCGGGGCTGTAGTATTTCTCACTCGGTGGGTCCAGGGCTGGGCCTGGGAATCTGTATCTTTGCCCGTTACCACGTGGTGCTGGGTGCTGGGGTTTCGGGTGTCCCACTTGGACTCAGACCTCACGTGGAACCGCCAGACTCAGCTGGGTGATCCTGCTTTGGCCACGCCAAGTGCACATGGAATTGCAGCACTCAGCGTTCAAGCACTGAATGAAAACCGGGTTCAACACAGCTAAAAATGAACTTTTAGGTTTGTATCCAAACTTAAGTACTTCACTTCTTACAGTACTTTTGTCCTCACAAATCATTTTTTTTTTAAGATAAAAAACGCAAAGGCAATTTCTTTAAAGTGCTAATAACTTAGCCTTTGGAGTATAAGAATGGCTTTTACTTGAGAAGAGTCGTGTCAAATGCAAAGCCAAACAAGCCAAACTAAGCCTAAGACGCAAACAGCTCCGTGGTGATTTAGGGCGGAGGGAGGCGGGAAGCCAGAACAAAGCCCTGCAAGGCAGCATCCAACACATCCCGCCTAATTCACTTCCTCGCGTAAAAATCCTGCTCATCAAAACTTCATCGAGTTGAAAAACTGGGTAAGATTAATGCTGCCACTCACTTCTGTCAGAAAGTTTCACCCTTTCATCCGTGAGGCCCTATATTCTAAAGAAGGAAGGAAGGAAACTTCCGGAAGGGGCGCGGGACAGGCGGGGGCAGGCACACGCGAGGGCCTCCCCAAAATGCTGGGATTACAGGTGTGAGCCACCACACCGCCCCTGTCTGGTGCAATTTTTATTGCCACTAACAGAAACGTTACGTACCAGGTACTATCCTGGAAGCTTCACCTAAGCTATCTTACATTTCGCTATAATGCCATAACCAAGACCCTGGGTGGGGGTCAGGACTAGACTGCCCGGTCCAAATTCTGCCTCAGTTTCCCACGTAAAGTGGGGTTAGCAAAATTGCCAGTCTCCTGGAGTTCAGAGGACTATGAGGTTCAATGCATGTAAAGCCCAGCTCAACAGACTTGTATTATTTATGTCTCGTGACAGACCTATGAAGTATTTACGTTGTCTTAGCATTCCATCCATCATACGGCTTAATTTTCCCTGGAATAACATACTCTCCCGGGTAAAGAGGGTTCTTTTTAGCAAATGCGCGCTCAAACTACGGCAAAAAGGTGGGGGAAAAGAAAAAGAAGAGATGGGAAAAATAGGCCAAATATTTTTTTAAAAATCATATATTTTCTTAAAAAAAAAAAACACATCATACTTGTCATCTTCTGGCATTTGGAAGAAGAAGAACCAGGAAGCAAGAATAGACAGTGGGAAAAATAAAATGCAGGAAAAACAAGGAGTCGCCCTGTGTCTGCCCTGTGCCGCTTCCAGGACTCGGCACTACGGAAGGCTGCCTCAGTTTCCACAGCACCAGCCCGGGAGGCCTCTGGCGGTGGCTCTCTGCCTTGTCTGGCGAACGTGAGCTCGAAGAGCGCACACAAAACTAGGAACGAGGGCTGCATGCAAGGTGCTCCCGGACCGAGCGGTCTGTCTGCTACGGCTCACTTCCGACTCCGCCCCAGGCCCTCCCGGCGCCCGGCACTGTGCTTGGGGCCGCCCCCCGCCCCGGTGGGGAGGGACCCCTGGGGTGGAGTGGTTGCTTCTCTGCTGCTCCGATTTTTTTTTTCTTATCATGGAACACAAACACTTTGAAAAGTCTGTGACAAACACATCCTACAGCCCACGAATCATGAAACCCGCAGGGACCCTGAGTGCAGGAGCCCATCTCTCTCTGGCTGCGCTTTCCGTATGGAGCGAGGCAGCTGCTACGCGCTCGCCCCGAAACCACCCCAAGCCTGAGAGCCCCAAGAACGAGCAGCGTTAGGGTCGATGCTGTGAACGCTGCCTACCAACGTTAAAGGTTATACACTGTTAGAATCGTGCAGAAATCTACTTTATTTTCAATGAAGTACACAAAATACAATTAGATGTGCCGAATAACATCTCAGTTGCACCGGGAAAGCCTAGCTTGAGAAAGCAATAAGAATTCACCTCTGTTTTGGAAGATGGCACTTTCGACTGTGACTTGATGTGTCATTTGGCGGAAATCTCATCTTGAGAACACAGAGTGGGAGACTTTTCTGCCAGACGCGGCCACGAAATGAATCTTAAGCCGTAAAGGACATTAACGGGATGAAGAAACAACACAAACTAAAACCTGTCGACTGCACGCCCTGCAACAGTGGGCCTGCTCAGGACCTGGCTATAGGAAGGCATCTCACCAAGAGAAACCCCTTCTACCAAAACATTAGCAGAAATATCTAGTGGAGTGTTATTAGTTCGTCAGCACTGAAATGCGTGCAAATAAGAATACTATGCAGAAGTTTGTTTTTCCTATCCAGAATGTAAAAGAAAATAATTAATTTTTAACCAATACCGCCTCCTCCAAAAAAACCCTCCAAACTCTCATAAAACAAAGCCATTATAATGGGAAAAAAAGGTGAAATTCTGGGGGAAAAAAATCATTGGTTTCAGTATCTGAAAAAACAAAGCATGGCTTCTAGTTCCCAGATGAATTGGTTTGGCACTAGCAAAGGCTGGTAGTCAGAACCTTTTTTTTTGAGACAGAGACTCACTTTGTTGCCCAAGCTAGAGTGAGTGCCGTGGCGTCAGCCTCACTCACAGCAACCTCCAACTCCTGGGCTCAGGTGATCCTCCTGCCTCAGCCTCCCGAGTAGCTGGGACTACAGGCATACGCCACCATGCCCGGCTAATTTTTTGTATATATATATTTTTAGTTGGTCGATTAATTTCTTTCTATTTTTAGTAGAGATGGGGTCTTGCTCAGGCTGGTTTTGAACTTCTGACCTGGAGCAATCTGCCCGCCTCAGCCTCCCAGAGTGCTAGGATTACAGGCGCGAGCCACTGTGCCCAGCTAATTTTTTGTATATATATTTTTTAGTTGGTCAATTAATTTCTTTCTATTTTTAGTAGAGACAGGGTCTCTCTCTGGCTGGTTTCGAACTTCTGACCTGGAGCAATCCGCCTGCCTCGGCCTCCCAGAGTGCTAGGATCACTAGCATCTCCGGGGATCTCTACATTGTCGGCACTTGGAGCCTCCTGCCATGCCATGGATGTGGGGACTGCTACCCGTGTACCGGCCGGCACCTGGCGCCTCACACCCCCGCCCCGCCCCGCCCCGCCTCACAGGTGTGTGCGCTCAGACCAGGCTCTGCGGCTCAGAGAGGCTGAGTGAGCTGCAAAGGCAACACAGCTGGGCACAGGCCAGAATGGGTTTTTTTGTTTTGTTTTGTTTTGTTTTTTTAAACTTGAAAGTCTGCTGCTTTTGTACTTCACATATCTCTTGGGAACTTACAACAGGTAAACACGTTTATTGATGTTTTTACTACTCCATAAAGGCCATGAGTGATGCTTTTTTACTGTGAGCTCACAACAAATGCCAGCACCAAATAAACGGATACTGTCAGGATCCGATGCACCTTTGCCTGCTGGATTTCAGCTTCCGGAGAATTCTTACCTGGTGCTCCGGTATACATGATGGAAAATACATTTATTGCTATCGTAGCAGCATAGAACACTGGAAGTGCTCGGAGGCCATTGGGGACGGGGTCCTCCTGCGGGACAAGGAGACAAAGCGGGAGGTCAGGATTTGAGGAGCATCTGCAGCCAACACAGGCAAAATGACAAGAGAACACTATTTATACGAAAGTTTTCCCCAAAGCCCGGTGTGGCCAAAAAAGGCTGCCCGTGACGTGCTTCACGTCTGCAGACGTGGCACCGGCCGGGGCCATCTCTGCCACACAAGTGCAGTGTCAAAGAGCCCACTACTGCGGCCGGCGGGCCCGTTCATGCGCTAGCATCACATGAGCTGATGTCAGACTCAGCAACGGAAAAGGGCTGTTAGGTCAGGTCGGTTCCCGGGGACCCAAGCCCGGAGCTCAGCCTCTACATTTTCGCGACGTGGGGAGCTGACTACTCTAGCTACGTGCGGGTTTGGCCCTAAAAGCCTACGCTCGACACCTGTTCTGAGACTCTCACCTCTGTCCTTCAAGTCAAGTGACTTAGACATCTGTTGTCTGCTCTATCACACAACACATTTCAACTTTACATTACCCAGCGCTCTGATTTTCAAGATCTTCCCGCAAGGCATAGTGTTAGACTTTCAACTACTAACAGCCAAAAAGAACTGGGTTCCTTGCCTAGTAAAGCATTTATTTAGAACTTTTAGGCTCCTGCTACAACACTCCCTAAATCTAATACTTCAACAAAGAATGGTACTGTACGTGTCTTAGGTTCCATAACTTCGGAAAAGCATGCAATAAATTTAGTTTTAAGCAGATCTACGGAGAAATCTGATGCAAACACACGGGCTAGGAAGTCTTTAATAGAGCACTGGCACATGGGTGCTGCTGAAATAGTCAAAAAAGGGACTAACTTCCAATAACTACGTTAGGCCCAGCGCGGATTGTTTGGAGGAGCTCAGGAGTTAGGGCCAGGCCTGGAGCAAAGAGGGTGAGGACCCGTCTCTACTGAAAAAACAGAAAGCAAGTTAGCTGGAAAGTTGCCTAAAAGAATATATAGAACAAATAGCCGGGCATGGGGTGGCTGCCATGCCTGCTAGTCCCAGCTATCGGGACGGCGTGAGCAGGAGGATCGCTTGAGGCCCGGAGTCTGCAGGTTGCTGTGAGCTAGGCTGAGCCACGGACTACTCAGCCTGGGCAAGGGAGTTGAGGATCTTGTCTAACTTAAGTTATTCAATCAATCCTGATTGTGAGCTACAGAAGAATGGATAAGCAGAGGCTCTTCTCAAAGACACCTCCTGCCAAACGCCAACTGTGTCTGGAAGCCATGCATGTTGGCGGAACAGCGCACCCCATCAAGACGCTGCTCTGGGGTGTTTCAGGGGAGCGGTCGGCGTCGGTCGGGAAGCCTGGTGGGATGTTGGAGCAAGGGTTGTG